CCTTATTAATTCAAAATACCTGAAAGTCTGTTAGTATGGACAAAGTCCTATAAAAATGTGATGTTTCTTTGAAAAGCCTTCTCACTCACAAGCTGTCTACAGAGCTGGGTATTTGCAATTGCCATCAAAGAAGGAGGAATAATCAATCTGCAAGTGATTTTTTTTCCCTACATGGGCATACCAAGCTGAACATACTCTATCTGCATGAATATGTACCTTAAAAAGTCATGTAAATACATCATAGTACATTAGTTAAAATGATTATTTAGAGAGTGGTTCCCATTTGAAGTGATGTTTATAAGGTATGCTAGGATAAATGCACAGGTTAGATGGACCTTGTGTGGTACACACTTTTACTAGCATGTTAGCTAGAATGCTTGATTTACAGGGCTCTCTAGAAAAGTAGCTTTTAAAAAGGTGAGAAATGGCTTTCATTAAAATTTTCTAAATTTCTCCTTAATTGTCTGTAACATGCATTTCATCTTACTACATGTCAGTTTTGTCAAGTGAGACAGACATACACTTTTTGAATGATTGCAATTCTATTTCTCAAAATAGCTTAAACAAAAAAAAATCACTAATTGCCATATTGGCCATATCTACACCCAGTAAGCTTCTAATCCAACTCAAGCAGGAATAAAATTTATTATTCAACACAGCAAAAACCATATAGAACCATATATGTATATGCACCTCTACATATTTGTGGAGATAATGGATTTATCTACTAGCACATGGAATAGAAGTGAATAGAAATACATTGCAGAATCACACAGGAAAATATTCTAATACAAATTTATTTGTTTATTTTTGTCCCTCCCTACAGAATGTAGTTGGGGAAAGGATTTGTATATGTCATATGTATTGCTGTGTTCCTTGACAATGCCTGGACATAGAATACTCCATATTTGTTGAATTGAATCATAGAATTTTAAAAATGCCTTTCACTGATTCTAGGATTGGAAATAGAAGGGCATCAGAGATATGTAGTAGGATCACCAACTTCCCTAAATTCCATTATTTTATTCCCTAATTGGTACCTAATTCCTACAGTCACTGTGCCTGGAAGCTCTCTTGCTTTCTGTCAGTCTCTCATTCTTGTACCTCATGCAGGCATGAGCTTTAGCCTCCTTGGAACATGCTAGGATAGAGGTTAACTTCTTCCCAGAACCTACAAGAGGCTAATAAGCCCTGTGGAATAATATTTCTAAGTATTAAGCATTCTGGAATCAATATCAATGTGCTGTCAGTATATGCATTAACCCCACACTCAAACAAAGAACTGCCCTTAGAGCCCAGTAATGACACTGGGCGTGGATAGCTGGGGATGGGCAAGATGATGCAGAGATGACTGTATCATCTATCCTCAAACACAAGACTTCCAGGATGTTGCACAAGACTGTCATTCTTGTACTTGGTCAGAAGACAGCTTTTGGTTTCAGCCACTAACACATTCAGAAAAAAAAGAAGTCTCTTTTTATGTTTTTTACTTAAGAGATAGATTCAGATCACACCTTCACACCTTCCATGCTGTGAGAGAAGTTTGTTTCTCTTCCTTGCCTGGTATTGCCAGAGAATGCAAATGTCTTAAAGTTAGCAGAGCCACTACATATGTAGCTGATAGAACAGGAACAACAAACTTGAATCATTAATGACTCAGGTCTAAGACATGCTTTTTTGTGACACTCCATCACGCCCACACTCATTTATGTAGCTTTTTCCACATACAGGTCCTGCTAAAAAGATATGTCAAGAAAGAGTCATGGCAAAAGGTCTGTGCATTGATTCTGCATTACTTAAATCTCTAGGATAAGAGTAAATATTCACATTTGACCAAGATTCACACTCATCCTTACAGTAAAATAGATCTTCATGTAGTAAATGAGATTTTGTTCTACATGTGAAATCTGATTTTTCAATTAGAATGAGGAAGGGTGGGGTATATATAATACAGTGTTGATGACTGATCTGTATGGTATGTACAGTTAAGATGTCATAAAACTGGGATGACTGTGAGTAAGCATGTGGGATGCAGAGCCAGATTACATTGGTTTAGAATCACTTATTAACTATGTGACTTTAGCCAAGTTCGTAACCTAAGAATCGGTTTCTGCAAAATGTAAATAATAGAACCTAATCCTATAAAGTAAAATTATTACTCTGTACCTCATAATGTCATTATAAGGACTAAATAAGATACATACAGGGCTGGGGTTGTGGCTCAGCGGTAAAGCACTTGGCTAGCATGTGCGAAGCCCTGGGTTCAAGGACAGCACCACATAAAAATAAATAAATAAATTATTGTGTCCAACTACAACTAAAAAATAAATATTAAAAAAAGATACATACAAAGCTTAGTCCCATAAACGATACATAATAATAACTGAATAAATGATAGCTGTGGTTGGTTAATATGATTATTAATTTTATCATTTCTACCATGGCCTAGCTATCAGCAAAGAATTAACTTCTTTGAAAATTAACTTCTTTGAAACTTTGTAATTCAGTATGAAAACCATAGCTGTAAGTATGGTGTAAATTAGCTTCTTGTAAGGTTTACATGATCTATACAATAAATACAGTCTTGATTTTTCAGTTTTTACTATGAAACAAAATTCTCTAAATTCTAGAAAATATCAGTGAGACACCAATAAAGGCAACCAGAGAAATCTCTCCCCTTACTCAAATGAGTGCACACGTGTACACACACACACACACACACACACACACACACACATACACAACATCTACCCCTTGGGGATATATTAAAACTACAGCAACTGAAATAGACTTAGCCAGTAATTAAGACACACAGCTAATCAGAGAACAGCACAGGCTGTAAGAAGAAACAGAAGACCTGGATGACAGCTCTCATTACCAGGGCTTTGTTCTCCTAGAGCAAAAGAACACATAAGCATAAAGTTGAAGAACTATTAACTGCATTTTGAATACTTGTGGGGGTTAGGAGAATCATGGGCTTGTCTGAACTGGGAGGATATTCCACTAGATAACTGCGTCAGCCCACACCCACCCTCAAAGCATGACTTCACTTTTTCTAACACTGCCCTAAAGAAATCTGGCCTCTGCGACTTCCAGTAATTGTATAAATCACCCATGATGAAGCAACTGAGAGCACTGTTAGACAAAAGAGACAAGAATTAAACAAATAGAAAACTCATTAAAATTCTGCCTTTGGTTATTTTTTACTCCTAGTAATTCATGTTACCAAACAAGTCTTTCTTCATTGCTTTTCATTGGAAGTAATACTTTAGAAGAATTCTAATGGGCAAGGAGTGATTTTCTCCAGACTTGTAATCCAGTCACTAGACATACTTTCCCTTCCCCCATCACCATCTAACACTCCTCCCTGTCACCTTAGAGCTGCCGACTTAGCTGTGTTCACACCCAGCAGTCCCAACAGAGCCTTCTGTTCACATTATGCGACATAAAACGGCAGGCAGTGATCAATTCATACTCCTAAGTGCTTGCGATAAAGCCAGGCTGAGCTGACCTCTCCTATCTCACATAGCTGCATGTCAGCCATATAAGCTTAAAAAACAGAGTAGCATGTGTGTGATGTGGTACAAACAAACTAATTAAAATCTGAGCTCTTTCACTCAGGCTAGTGCCTAATGGGACCAATATGCTCAACTCTTGAGGAAAAAAAAAAAAACCTCCAAGCTGGCTAGAGGTATTGCTTTTCCTGCTTCCTGTGATATATTTGTTTTAGGCTCAATAAATAGGCTAAAAGAAAAGGAACTCAAGGGTTGCTATTCTTTCCTGTGAGACTTTTCAAATAAATACTGTCAACTCGGCAGCACAGAATCACAAGACCACTCCCTGATTCTAAGTGGACATATTGATCAATTGAACTGACATGTGCCTCCTCCTTTCTCTCCTCAGTAACAATCAGTTGCACTAGGGAAATCCATTTCATTTCCCAAAACAAAAGGCAACACATTACACCTTACTGACAGTGTTAGGCTCTATTTTTTAGGGGAAAAAAATGATGCAAATGATGATGATGATGATGAAGATACCTAAAGACTGAGCTAAGAGTTGAGATGAAAAAGATACATAACATGTTTATCTAGAGTTTCAGAATTGAGTCAGGGTTATGATTGAGTCCAAGGATCTAAACACCTTGCAATCACTGAGGATTCTAATATTTATTCATCATACCAGATTTTGGTTAAAGTTAAGCAAGAGATAGCAACACCACTGTCACTTCCAGAGGCTCTCCTCAGGGTTACCGTTGACTGCAACTGCCGCAGAGAAGAGACTTGTTCCTTTCTCAGTTACAAGTCAGCCTGAAAAGAACTCCAGCTATTTTAGAGACTAGCTAGAGACAGAAAAATATTGTGGCAGTCTTTCAACTAACTATGGAGGTCGTGAATTGAAGAACCACCACATAAATCAAAAGGCTTAAATAATTCCATTTTGTTTAAGTCTTTATGCTTTTAATAAATTCTTTCCAGAATATGCAAGAAATTCCCTTTCACATCAGGGTATCAAATGCTTATTCAGCATTCGTTCCTTACCATGAAGAAACTGAAACCCAACCGAGGTAAATACTGAATTCCATACTAAAAATCAATAACTATTTCATTAATCACAAGAACAAACAGGGGACCAATTAGCTCTGCACCATAAAAAAAGAAATATATATCCTTACAATGTTTAAATACTGTAAACTACTCATTTTAGAGCTTATCCATGGCTTTTCAATAGAAAATCATCATGTTTATAAAAAAATTCTATAAGAACACTAAAAATAACATACAGAGATGGAGCAAGAATAATTCTTTATATTTTGATTCTTGTATGACTCTTACAGGCCTTTGTCTTAACCCGGCAGCCTGAAAAACAGATTTAGGCAAAACAACCCTTCTTTCCCCAGTCCATTTTAAGCAGAAAACATCCCCCAATCTCTGCCTTAGCAGACACCGACTAGCCAACAAAACAGCCGTGCAATTAAGGTCCAGACATTTAACACTCACCATCTCCTGCTCCCACCGTCTTCTTTTGATGTTTATGGCACATCTGTAGGATGCAATACTAGGAGATGCCTTGTTTGACCTGCTGCATGATGCTGTGACATCAGTTCAGATGATGCAGCTCATTATGGGAAAGACTGCTGTTGCTATGGCAACTGGGATGTGCTAGGAATCCTTGCTGCATTTCCAGTGGAGCCTCAGACAATACGGAAGCCCTGTAAGAAACAGACAATATGCAAAATTTAGACCAAAGGAAGAGGATTCCTCATTGGACTAAAATTCATAAGTTTAATAGGGATTTCCCTAAAAGCACTTTGGAAAAAATTAAAATTGCCTCCCTTTTGTTGTTATTCATTTAGAAAAAAGATGAGAGAGGAATATAGATTTAGTACACAGCAAATAAAAATTCAAATGCATAATGATTCTCTATAAGAAAATTTGATCAAAAAATTACAAGATAATTTTTCCTCTCTGAATAGTAGCATTATGATACCTTTTTAACAATTACTAAAAAGATTTTTTGCTTCTGTCAAAGACCAAAAGAAAAAAGCAGAGAGAAGAAAAATACTTAAAAACCAAATATAAATAGCTGACCAAGTATTTCTACTTCTAAAGTAAACAGACTTTAATTCTCAAAACACAGGCAAACTTTTGGCCAACTAAGTCTGCCCCCTGGACACCAACCTACAGAACATCCTTATGTATAGTTACTCAGCACTCATCTAAACCTAAACTCTGAACAGCAGTGCAAGGAGGTTTGGATTCTGGGAGTGGGGGAGGAGCACCACAGCACCCTCAATTTCTAGGGGTTGTTTCCTTGACCTACAAAGAACTCTTCCTACTCATGGCCAAAACGCAAGAATCCTTTCTGGAACTAAATCTGTTGGTTGGAACAAGTGGCAGACCTGCTAGAAATGTCCTAAGTCATTGGCATTTCAAATATTGAAGTCTGTTTTTTTTTTTTCCCTTTGGGGCAATAAGACAGCCTACCACATAGATTATTCACACCCCTCCCCCAGAGAAGCTGGAACTGTGTGAAAGCCACATTTCACTAAGACACAGTGCATTATTTCTCCAGTTGGTAAAAGAAAAGCAAACACTTTTTTCTAGTCCTGAGCAGAAATAAACATCATATGGCAACAACTGGAGAAAGGAGACTTGGACAGAGCAGGCCATCTCTTGCATATTTAATACTTGCAGGCCACTGGTAAATACAGAATCAAGTTGACCTATATCCACTCTATATTCACAACTCTGAGGAAAAGCAACATTCTAAAATCCCAAAATATAATGAAACAATTATGCTATAATACTTGAAATTTTAAACAGAACTGTAGATCAACAGCATGGAGGGGGGTGTGGAGTACAGAAGAAATTCAGGCAGCGTCTCTGTAAATAAGAGCTGATAAAATGCCTGAGAGGTGCCAAGATCCTAGCAGGGTACACCATCAGCCTTGCTTAGAGCAACCATGCTCTGCGTGGGAAGCCAGGATTGATCTTGCCTCACCTAATGAAGAACTAGGAGACCAAGAGAAAGAAGTGAGCTGCCTGCTCAAGCCACCTATGCTCTCAACAGCAAGACAGAGCCTGACTCCCTGCTTTTATCTCAGATCACATGCCACACACACCAAGGAAGATTAAGAGGAGCCATTCCAGTGCAAAGAGCACTGACCTGGGATTCAGTAAACCCACACATGATGCAAGTTTCTCCAAAAGCATCTGTATGACTTTGGGCCAATCAGTAAACCTCTCTGGGCCTCAGGAGTTTCATCTACAGAGATGAAAAATTTACCCTGAATAGTTTTCAGGGGTTCTATTAGTAGCAGAACTTTTTCTTTTAATGATCATGCAGATCAAAGCTGAACTGCCATGGATATAAGAAGGCCAGAGCCAAGATTGGTGGACCCTTTTCACTCCCACTCCCTAAGCTTGTCTGCTATAAACTGGCCCCTACCAGTATCTATGAAGAACACATCAGCCTCTGGAGAAGATGGAGTAAAAGCCATTTAGAACAAGATTAGACTCTCCAGAACTAAAATCCCATGATTCTATAGAGAAGAAAGGGCAGATTGGGACCAGGTGTTTCACGTTTGAATATGGCTTCACAGGATGAGAAGAATCTTGTTAGTCCCCTTTGCCAGCATCAAGTAATTTATTTGGTGGGGAAGAATAGATAGCTCATCAAATCTGAGACCAGGTCAGACTTTTAACAACCTGAACTAGATGAATAGCTGGCCCACAGATTAGCCTGAATTGGCTTTTTTTTTTTTTAAGCCCTTTTTAGCAGACACAAGTCATGAGTGTTTCCTTGCTTTGTGAATGGGTGTTTGGTGGTTCACTTTGTACTTCCCAATGGCCTTTCTGCTCCTACAATCCCAGCTCCAGGGGTTTTTTAGGATTGCATTCAATAATGTATATAATAATATTTGATAAGCCACAAGCATCATAAAAATGACAGACCTTGCTAGTATCATCACTAACAGCACACTAACTTTATTAGTGAAGGCTCTTTAGTCCTCAGAATCTGGACTATGGGATAAAAACAAGGAAATCACCTTCAAAGTCTACACAGTTACAGAAGAGAGCCTACCACTCAACTTTCTCTTCATGTGAAGTCAGAAAAAGGTAACTGGTGGGGGATCCTCCCAGAGAACAATGCTAGAACCACAGGTAACTGTGAACAGATGAGTTTCTCCTGGAGAACAGAATCAAGGTAAGATCAGTAAATCCAAGCAGGGAGCTTCATGCCTGAGTGACTCAAAGGATGTCATAATCGCTGTGAGAAATTCTTAAAAATAATTTAAAATGGAACATAGACAGCTGATCAAATGACTCTCAACCTAATAAACAGGCTTTAAATAAATAGGCTTTAAAACCCATGAGACATATGTCTCCCAATCTCCTCAATGGAGATAATTCTTTTTTTTAAATACCATCAAAAAATCCTGGACTTAAGCTAAATGTAGAGACTAAATATCATATTAAGTAGCTCATTTGGTATGTATGTTCTTTGAAGAGGGAAAGGGAGCAAAGAGACATTGGAGGTCAGCAGGACAACTTATGGAGAGTACCAGGAGTGTTCAACAAGCCCCATTTCTCTGGCTCCTAGGCACACTTAGAAGTTATTTTTACCAATGGAATGGGAGTAGATCTGAAGTAATTTTCAAAGACAGTCAAGAGCAAGTATGCCTTCTTATTTCCCTCTGCTGTTAGCTGTATGCAAGAATCCAGTGGAAATCTGAAGCCCTGAAATGGACCCAACTTTGAATACAGCCTGGGTCCCTAAATGACTATATGGGGCGGAGTCATTTTCTCCAAACCATCTACTGACACACACTGAGCTACAATAAGTGAGAAATAAACCTTTATTATCTTAAGATATTTTATCCATAATAAACTAGCCCCAAATCCCAATATCTTAAGATAATAAAGGTTTATTTCTCACTTATTGTAGCTCAGTGTGTGTCACTTTATAGATAAAGTAACTAGAATTTAATATAACAAAAATATTTAATAAAACATTAAACACTATTTAATAAAATATATTATAAAATCATAAAGCTATATATTAGTTATTAATAATACTAAACTTAATGTTAAATTTGTTATATATTATGTTATATATTTATTAACTGATAATGTTAAAAACAGGTTTCTCTCAGGATTTTAAGTTTGAGGCCAGCCTTGGTAATTTAGCAAGACCCTAATCCCAAAACAAAAATAAAAAGGGCTGGACATATAACTCAATGATAAAGCACTCCTATATTCAATCCCCAGTACTGAAAAAAAAAGGGGGTGTATCCTTTATTGCAGACTTTCTCAGAAACTATAATCTTCTGATATGTACTAAGGCTCTTTCATAGGAAGAAATATGGTACACAAGTGCTTTCTTAATTTATTTAACCCTAGAATCCTTTTTTTTTGTGGACTAAAGTTCCATCAGCCATTGAACCACAGCATAAGAAACATGACAGTGAACACAATGGGTTAGAAATCCCCTGGGTTCCAAATTTAGCCTGGGGGGGCTACAGAAAAGGGAAAAAATTAAACTTATCTCCATTACAATTCAGTTGGCCTCCAATTATTCTCTGCCATACGGAACTGACAACACAGAACTTTCATGTTACCAAAGGTAACTACATTTATACAAATGTTTCCCCCAACCATTTATTTTCCCTAATTTATAAGTAGGAGTTACATCACAGTTTCTCATGATTTCAGAAGCAAA